TTTTAGGCATATTTTATTTAAATAAAGAAAGAAATTGTGATCAATGTAATGCACTAATAAGTAATTAATTGCACATGCTTTCTCTAGCTCTTGCAATTGCAAGAATTGAAATGATCCAAATAAAAAGTAATTTTTTACTTCTAAATTTAAATAATTTGCTCCATAATATTAGTATCTAAAACCTGTTTAAATCAAATGCTGTTTCATTCACTGTTGAAAAAATAGTTAATGTTGACTGTCAGAAGCTATGGAGTTTACATCTGTACATCATAAATTTCACTATCATCTGCTCCTTTTTCTACTTAAAAAGAAAAAAAACCAACTTGCTTAAAAAAGAAAGGAGGGAAAAAAGGGCCTTTGAAGGCATCAGACTCCTTTGTTTGATGTGTGGAACAAGATTAATAAAAGCGTGCCACTACATTAGCTTTTAAATAGCTAGCATGAGACAGTGCTGCTGTCTATACTCACCACAACTTTAATTTATGTAGATAGCATGTTTTAGACATATGATAGTTTTAGCATTGATTTAGACCTGTTTCTTGGGGGAGATCTCAGATTTGTGACTGTGTTTATCTTTTGTGTAAGTACAATTAATTGGGCAATGCCAAACACAATAGCATTTAATATTTTGAAGAATTAAAAGGGAAATATTTCACGTACTCAGCTGGTTTACAGATGTGTAAGATTTGTAGTCCATTCTCTTGTTGCAGCGTGGCATTGTGACAGTATGTCCAATACTAAAATTTATATATGTTAGAAGAGAAAATACCATTCCAAATATTAAAGATTTTTTGGATTTATAATAATGTATTTTAATACAAGTTATCCTCAAATCTTGTAATTGTAATCTTAGAATTTTAAGAATATCTACATAATTGATTTTCATGTAGTTAAGACACACCTGCAGCATGTTTGAGTACAAGCCTTCAAGTGTTACAAGTTGCTAAGACCCTTTTATCAGCAGAATTTGGTGTGTTTTATAAGAGGGAATTCCATAACACAGGATACTGCTGGCACCAAATACGTCAGATGGTGGAAAAGTGAATGAAGAACAAATAATCTCTTTAAGTATAAGATGGAGGGTTTTTTCTGTCATGTCCCGTTTTATTCAGTAATCAAAGATGTTGATGCATTGTTTAAAGCTGCTGTATCATCATCTTTATTTTCCTACGTTCTGTAATGTGAATTATAGAAGAAGAAATTAATTTGGGTATTACAGACTAAATTTCCAAAATTTTTTGGAATTGAAAAAGCTGTTATAGAAAGCTGATTTACAAAAAGAGGTCAACTTTTCAAAACAAAGCTAATATGATAATTCATTTTGTATTTTTAAGCTCATTATGTGTTTATTTTTAAATTTGAAGAGTAAACATTTGGGATAATATGGAAATTATCATGGTCTGTAAACAACTGATTGAGAAAAGCAGTTCTCTTTCAGCACTGGAAGGAAAATTTCTCCAGTTTCAAGAGATATTTGGAATTTGTTCAGTATATTTCTCTATTCTCATCACAATAAGCTGGTATAAATGGAAAAAAAATATACACATTTCTTGATTTTGAGTCAATACTGAGTACATGAAAATGGACCACATATTACACTTCTCTCAAGCTGCTCCAAATGGAGGAAGGATTTTTAGTCTTAAGTTTTGGGGGTTTTTCAGAAGAGTTTAGGAGGTCTTAGTGATTTTTTTCTGCAGAGTCACCCCAGACAGATTATGAAGCATGAACTGAGTTGTCTGAAAGAGACTCCAGATAATTTAAAGAGAGAGCTTTGACTTAAATATACTGATTTACCAAAAAAGGGGTACCAGCCCCCCTCTGACTTTATCAGTCTTTGGTAAAGTTAGGGACGTTTGGCTGTTTTGTTCTCAGATTTGCTTTTAACTTGTGTTCTTATGTTCATGGAAATTATTTTAGAGGGTTACTGTGAGTAATGATTTTCTTTATAAGAACAACAATTTTATGAAAATATCACCAGAAGGTGTAATTGCTTGGTAGGTTCTCTGTAGGTTTTAGGTATACAGCTCTTGCCTACTTTTTCCCATATGTATTTGGAGAACTGCATGTGCATACAGAGGTGTATGATTGCAGCTTGGAGATGGGGGAGTTCCTGTAAGGAGAATCCTAACTGCAGCAGAGCTCTGTAAAGTGTCCTAGCCTTACGAGCTGGAAGCACCAGGTATCCCTGTAAACTCTCACTGCTCTTAAACTGTAGCATTCTAAACCGCACTTGTGCCGTTGGATTTTTGTTCCATTCCTTTTTTCCCCGTGTTATTTCATTTCTGCCTTTTGCTCTGCTTTGTCTTCTTCCCCTCGTTGGTGTAATACCTATATCCTTTCTGCCAAAGCAGCTCTTCTGTTAGCAACTCAAATCTAGTTTTTCATAGGGTGAGCTATGTAAATTCAGGGGAGACAGGTTTCACATGGCTTTTTATGTTCTAAAATAGCAATAAATAAACTGATTTTAAATCATAAGCAACTTTCTGGTAATTTACAACAAACATCAAGTGCTTGTGCCTCTTTTATGGCAGCAGCTGAATGGAAACACGTGCATAGGAGTCAAACTGGTATTTGAAGACATTGTGTCTAATATTCACAGTGAAAGGTGCGTGTCAGAGAAGGATGAGTGTTTTCTGTGGCTCTTTTTTGTTGTAAGAGAATGCATCCAATGGTTTTCCCATTTCAAATAATTTGAATGTTTGAGATGTCTACTAAATATGAATAACTGTAAAATCCAAAATTTCTAGTTTAGATGGTACATAACATATTTACCAACACAGCATGTTTTAGTATTTCTTGTCTTTGCCAAGGTGACTAGTTTGTTTGTTTGTTTGTTTGTTTGTTTTTCTTCCTATTGTGTGTTAAAATGGAAGAGAACTGGCACAGCTGCAAGGGTTGGAGGCTTTAAGGATTGTGATTTTGATAAGAAATAAAATAAAATATGGAGAGATATGAAGACTCAAAAAATTATTTCTAAGGTGTAATTCATTGAAGCTATTGCAATAGAGTTCACAGGCACAGCAAGAAGAGCACTGAAGAAAGATTGTTGATGAACAATACACTTTATTAACTCTGAAATAAGACTAACTGCTAATATATTTTATTCTCCACTATATTTTCTAACTCAGAAATGAGATATGAAAGGTTGAAGATCAAGTTGGTGATTGGCATTCAATGGGATTTTATTTGTTTCTTATATATTCAGACACAAGTGAACCTAAGCAATTTGTACAGGATTCACGTTCAGCTTCTCTATTCAACTATTTGTAGGAAATAGTGTGTTGAAAAGCTGAACCTAACTTTATTCTGTCTGCAATCATTAAGCACTATCTATGCATACATATGTATTTAGCATATTTTTTTTTACACTAATTCTATTTAACAGAAGATTGGCTTCTGTGCTCTGTTGTTTCATGTCATACTTTGAATATGATTTACATTGAAATTCTTAATGAATGAGGCTTTGTTAAAGCATTTGTGGAATGTAGCCACTATAGTATTAGCCAATCTGAAAGTAGGTTCTATCAACATTCTTCATATAATATTAAAATTGGTTAAATGTGCCTTAATGTCATCCATTGAAATAAATGAAAATGTAAAAGAAATCAGAAGTCCCTTTTTAAAGTACTGCTAGTAGGATAATAGAACTGAGAGTTTTAGGATTATGGAACAACTGTATATCTACAATTAAGGGTTAACAGAGCTGTGGCAAGCTCTGTGATTACCATTACTATGGTCAACATTCATTTTTGCTTGCTGCTGCAGTGTTTTTGGTCAGCATGTCTAACCACCATAACCACAGCAAAATCTTTTAATTGCTGAACAGATGTATTTCTTGGTCGTTTTCATCATGACTGAACTGAGGGTTTAATGTTCATGAGAGCACCAAGAGTGCCACCTTCCCCCAGCCATGCATTCAGTTACTTGGATCAAGAGTGTCTCCTGTTGACCACATCGAGAATATATACACTAAATACTGCCAGGGGAGACCACTGTTGGAATATGCTGTGTTGTAACATTATAGAATATATATATATATATAATATACTAGGAGTGATTTATTCTACTTTTTCTGTATATTCCTTCCTTTTCATAGAGAAAGAATGTAAAGAACAACCATGATGCTTTGTTAGCAGAAGGTGATGAACTGAATGAGCAGCTTAAAGAGGGGCAGTTAAAATGGTTCCATCTTCAAAACAAATTGCAATCAGTAACTATTTCAAACAGAGGGACAGAGGAGGTGAGGCTGTGGGCAAGAGCTAGAATCTTTTACTTTAGGTTGTGCATAAAGATAAGGGAAAATGAAATGTTGGGATAGGTCTCAGTGGAGGAGATGTGACTAGACCTTTCAAACACATTTAGAAGACTGACCTGGTACTATATATTTTTTTATCATATTCAAAATAAAAATTTCTGACCTAAATGCTATTTGTATTTCACAGAATTATGAACCATACCTGATGTGTGTTTGGACAATATTTGAAATTAAAGCATAAGATACGTCAATTCTGACACTAAACAAGTGGCTTATTAATAGGAAAAAAGTGAAAATACTTGGTTTATTGATCATGTGTTGCTAATTTTTAGTATTCTTTGAACCTGATTTAATTAGAGTACAATGTTACATCTTACTCAGCAGTTCAAATCAGTCACCTCTGTTTCTTTGTCTAGTGACTCTGAGAGACTTCTGTTGTCACGAACAAGTTGTCCAGATATGAGGCTAAACATCAAATGGTTTCTTCCCCATTTTCTTCAATGTATGAGGAATAAGAAAACTTGCTTGATTTTTCTTGCATTTTGTAGCAACTTATATTTAGTTTTACCGCCTGCTTTACCTATTGTAAATGTATTTTATGTGAACCAAGTTTACCTCATAGATATTTTTGCCAAACCTTTAAAGTGTAATGCCTGGAGAGCAGATATTCTTGGTTTAAGTATCTCATGTCTTTAAACCATATCCTGCTGTAGTGAGTGTTTTGGAGCAAGGGTGTGTTGTTTCTATATTGTCAATAAAAATATTTTCTATGCAAAAGCCATGCCCTAGCTAAGACTGATACTCGCTTATTAAAAGGCAATTCAAAAATATATGCTCCAAGTTTTTATATTGTTTTGCATTAGACAGAATGTGATTAGATACTGTTAATCAACTGCAACATGCTGCTCTCAGCTTCATCTCAACAGCATGTAAAAGATTTTGTGCCTAATGTAAATCCATGTGGATTTATCTTCTTATGAAGCTTCTAAGAGACAGTTGTATTAAAAGAACAAAAATATTGTGGCACTGCCTAAGAATGATTTGCTATTTCTGTTCACACTTTCGTTGTAATTTCTTTTTGTGGTGTGCATTACTTGAAACTTCTGTCTTCATTTTAATTGCAGGAAAGAATAAGCAATTCAGAAAAAGAAAATTAACTTTTGAAGAAAAACTATAATAAGCTGTGTGAGGTAAGTTAGGGTTTCTGAATACAGAAAATTTGATTCTGATCCTTTATTAATAGATCTTAATATACCGTGTTCTGTAATGTGTGTGTACATATTTTGTGCTTTTCACACGTGTAACCATGTTGATGCTGCTGTTCATCACATGACTGTGTATATGGAAACTCTCAGGTGCTTTGCTGTATTTCATCAGCTCTGTTGGAACTGACCAGCTTCCATATTTGTTCTAATTCTCTTGGAATAGTAGATTGCATCTTAAAAATGTAATTAAAAGTAAGTAGGAGTCACTTTATTTTGAACATAAATTCAAAAAGCTCTTATTTGAATTTCTAGTAGTATTTTTAGGGTAATTAAAAGAAGATTGCATTTTGGTAGACATATATTCCTTTGATTTTGTCTTGGGTTTGGTTTTTTTTTGAAGAAAGTGGTGTTTGAATTTTTTGTGTAAGTTCTAGCACATCTCAATGAACTTACATAAAGTCTGATATTTGACTGCTTCTCCAATGTTTATTTTTGAGCGGTGGTTTGATTGTTTTGGTAATAGCTACCATTTCACTTCCCCTGATTCTGCTTACAATTTTTATGTAGGTTCACACGAGTTTTTTCAAAGGTTCCTATACATAATAAGATGTATAAGTTTTATCAGCAGTGCTTAAAAAGAACATGAAAACACATTGTTAAGATATGATTCAGAAATTCTCTGTTACAGAAAAGAAGAAATTATAGTCAGTTGTCACAAGCATATTAAAGGAAAAAATGACCTTCCAATGAACTTTTCCTTTACTGTGAACCTGTGTTGTCTTTTACACTGAAGAGGGTTAGAAAATAGGATACATGTCCTACAGCTAATAATTGCAGAAAGTAGATCTTGAAATCTTTTCTCATATCCAGATTATTTCTTCTCTTAAAATTTGCTTGGCTTGTCAGTGTGATATCTATCAAAAGAATACCAATAATAACTTAAGCATAATATAAGTGATAACAATTTTTTTCGTATTATTCTTAAAATATTTGGCATACTTTTTATATGGTCTACAGTGAACTTAAAAATTATAAAGAGTAAAAAGCTGTGAAGAAAAATGGCTTAAAACTTTTTTTTGTTCTTGTTTTTACTTAGGAAGTGCAACAGTTGTATAATCACAGTATTTAGAGTTTTGTATGGAGAAGTTGGTCACTTGTCTCTCACTTACGTTAATTGCTGGAGATTTCTCCAAAATTTGACCATGTCATAAATTATTCTCATGATGTTTTTGTTTATTCTCTATCATTTATTCAGAGAAATAATTCTTACTAATGAATCAAAAATCTGGCTTGAAGTTTTCTGTTCACCTTAAAAACATAATAGGATGACTTAAAAAGATACTTAACAAGAGAAATTGAAGATAAGCTTCTGTTATAGCACTGTAATCTATACTGTGGTGTTTCTTTTACTAAAATGATCTGTCTTTTCATATACTCTCATTTAAAAATTGATTCATCTTTCATCATTCCATGTTACTGTATGGGTATCAATAAATTAGAAAGAAAAGTATTGTATAACCACCATTTAATGGCCAGCTTTTTTGGTTGCCTATTTGAACAATGCAACTTCACTACAGTTTACCTGTGCTAGCAGTAGATAGGCCAGTGTCCACAGCTGCCACTTAATTAATTACATTTTTTTTCCTTTTTTTAAATGGAGGCAAAGGTGCATAAACCCATTCTTTGTTAAAGTTATTTTTGGGAAATTTTTTTGACGCTGCTGGGAATTTTGCCAAAGCCAAGACTGCAGAACTGGATCTGAAAAGTTTGCAAAGAACAAGTATGAATTTGTCAGTTGACTCTTATTATTTAGTCAGTATCCAAGAAAACAATTCGTTTGTATAAAAGGTTTGGGGGAATTGTTTTCATATGACCTTGTAATGCAAATCTAGCAATGCTTAAACTCCCTCCAAAGGAAATGGTGCCAGATGTGGTTGACCATTATAGTTACACAGATGGCTCCAACTCCAGTGAAATACAGTAAATATGAAAGAAATTCCACATGAATTCAAGTAAATGTAATCTTAAAATTTGAAAGAAGAAAGCGACACACGTGGACTCAATTCAAACTGACATAAACATTAGCATTATGTGGGTTCAGATGAAACCTGTTTTCTAACCTGTTCTCCATTTGAACATCTAAATTCTTAACGACCATCATAATAATGCTTAATGGTTTTTCTGCCAGAACAGTCTTCTAAAATACTGAACTAATACCTGGCTGCATCCTTTTGTGAAGTCATTGTACCTACAGCTGATGAGCTCTCGTGTAACTGGGTGTTGTGGTCATTCAAACTTGAAAACATTTTCGGAAGTGTGAAAACTGACAGTATTTCTTTTGTTTTGAAGGGAGTTATGCTTTCATTATGGAAGCCAATCAAACTCTAAGCAATTAAAGGACACATTGTCTCTTCTGTACCTTTGCAATAGTGTGGAATGGTAGCGGGTTCAGTGCGTTACATTGCCTGCATATGACCTTCAAAATTATAGGAGAGCGATGCATGCATTACTGCAGGACTTAGAAGCTTTGCATGTTCATGCATGCTATGAAAACAGTCACACTGTAAAATGCTCTATGCCCAGAGAGCTGTGTACACAGGTTAGATATAGTATGAGAAAAAGACAAAATACAGGGATATATAATGTTTTAATGAAAAATACAGATTATGATATAAACCCTATATACTTTAGGGTTTACAATTCATGCTATAATATTTTATTTCTTTAATCTTAAATTCAGTCTTCAAATATATGAGATAAAAATGCATTCAGAACTCTGTCAGCATGTAGTCTGTGAACCTATGTGGGCTGTCCCTTCTGCAGCATTTCTTTCTCCTCTCTTTTTGTGGTCAAGGCAGGTTACACAGGTGGATCAATAAATAGATATCAGAAGATTTTGAATACAGTGGTGTATGTAAAATATAAAGTTTTTTAGCTGATGAGCTTCACCAAAGAGTTGAGGAACTGATTTTGTTTACAAAACCCTGCAATTACTGATTTTTCACAGAGTACAAAAGTGTATCAACTGGTTTGTGCTTGGTGAAGATCAACATTTTTCCAGTAAACAAGAATGGAAATGCAGTAATATGAAGACTATACCACTCACTGTCTAACTTATATGAAAACCCATTGCATAGCTTTGTCTTTTTGCCTACTGAGAATTACACTATAAATTTTATAATGTACTTAATTTAGTTTTAATCTGAGTAACACTTTTTGTTGTGGTTTCAGCAGTTCTAGTTCTGTGACCATGCAATCTTTATTGCACGTAGATTGTAGTTTACAAGTAAATAATGTATTACAGACAAAAAAGTTATTCTAATTTCTTGGCCCACCTCTGTTTTTTATTTCTTAAAGTAGGAGAAAGATTACTTTAAATGTGCTTCTTAATCAGTATCAGAATTGTTGTTTTACAGTATGAGAAAACTGTTGTCACTTTGTGGTCAACATTTTTCTTTGAACAGGCAACTGACTTTATGCTCTGCATGTTTCACAGATTTAAAAGAAATCAGGTGGATGATCCCAGTTCTCTACATTAAGAGGTTTTGTATGCGGAAAGAATGGTTTTGTTAGTTGTCAGTTGCTGAGGTTTGGAGTTGTGGATTACTCTGGGATATGCATCTGAATTCCTTTTCTAGACCCACAAATGTTGCATGCTGCCAACTTTTTGACTTTGGAGCTCTAAATTAAGGCCAGTTCCTTTGCTCATCCCACAAACTCTTTCATGTTTTTTAACCGCAGCCTGAGAAAGGCGCCTTGGTTTCAACAGCAGCAGACCAGCATGTGTTTACTTAATTCCTAAGACATGATGACAGTGGTCTCTGTGCCACTAAAAGCTTTTTTCTTTATTATTTTCTGTTGAAGTTGATTTCTAAGAGTTTTTCACATGCCATATGTTTTATTACAGTGTCTTCTGTATGACCCATGAACAGCAGTGGAAATCAAAGGAACAGCAAATGAAACTGCAAATTGCTAAACTAGAGATGGCTATCAAATCTGATTTAGCAGACAAAAATGCAATCTTTGACAAGATCAAAGTAGAAAGAGGTATTTTTTGAAAAAATCTAATATTTTCTCAAGATGTGAGGTCATACCTATGTTGAAGTTCAGGAATATTGCCCAGAAAAGTTTAGTTTCTATTGCTGGCGATTTCAAAGCTGCCTTTTAAGTGAACATTTGTACAATATGCTAAGGTTATGACTAGCTATTAAGTACAAAAACTGACCAAATGCAGATTATATACTGAATAAGGCTCATATTTTTTCAGCTGTATTTATTCTTCTTCTATTAGGTTATATTTACTCTTTATTCAGTGTTTCTTCTCTCCTCTATGTTGAAAGCTCTTATGGAAAAGAGGCCCATCTGACAGTCTCCCTCAAATTATAAGCCACTATTCTATTTACAAAGTTACATGAAGCCTATATGGGACTTTGGCCATGTTTAATTGTCTTTCAACTTCATTAATTCATAATTTAAAAAATATTTTCAGTATACACTGATTTTTATTTACAGCTGTGTACATTTACAATCATGCATTTTTCTTCTAATCTACTGAAGAGATTATTTCATATGTGTTTTTTCCCATGCTGTAGGGCAATTTCTCAGTTAATATTTGAGACTTTGCAATCTCTTTTTGTATCTCAACAACTGTGTTATATACTGTGGCAATATATAAAGTTTACAAAAGAAGAGCATACGCAGAAAGTAACTAAATATTTTTAGACTTGATTCTTCAAATGTGTATTTTTTAAAAAGTGTATTTCTATGAACGATCTAATGGAATTAAGTGGACCAACTTCTTGTGAATAATTCTTCTCATGAGTGTGGCTTCAGTTCATCATGTGCTTACCATTAAGATTCTGAGTAGCTTTATAGACATCTAATACTAAACTGAACATTTAAACGTTGTCTTTGACCACAGCAAGTGTTCGCAAAATTGGCCTTAAGTGATACTAAAATAAATAAAGATACCTTAAGCTATATTAATATGAAGTTACGACACACTGGCAGTTGTTACTGACAGCTTGATTATGTAAGGCTAAATTAAAAATTATATTCAGAGCATGAAAATATCATGGGCTGTGCTATTATTTGGTTAAGCTGAATGTGGAAAATTAGGCAACGCTTTCCATCTTCTGTCCTTCCAGTCTTTGCCTCCCCCAGATTGACACTTCAGAGCTTCTTGTACTCCTAACTGTATTGCCAGGGTACTACACTTTCAGTTGCTATTAATTTGCTGCAGAATAGCACAGATATTCTAATACCCTTCAAGCCCTGTGTATTTAGCATTTGATTACAGCTTTTTATCATTGCTACTGCAGAAATATTCACCAAATCACAGAGTGGTTCAGGTTGGAAGGGATCACAGGGGGAGCTGCTCACAGAATCATAGAACATACTGAGTTGGAAGGCACCCACAAGGATCATGAAATTCCAGCTTCTGGCCCTGCACATTTTGCTCCTGTTTGGGTCAGTTTGTTTTGCCTTCCCTCCAATAAATACCAATATATAGCAGAGGGAAATAATGAATAAATGGAGTGACTTCAGCATATAGATAAATAGATATTGTGAACAAGTGGTTTGGCCACTTAAAGAAACACTATCAAAGATTTTGGAAAAAGAGGAGTTTAATATGAATTTGTGAAAACATGATTTAACAGAGTGTGTTGGCAAGGCTCACTTACTACACAGATTAAACCATACAAAGGAAAATCAAATTAGAAACAATTTGGAATTACTCAAGTCAGGAATGCCAAGGGAGGTGAGTGTGCCAAGATATGGATGCAAAGATAAGGGTGCAAAAGAGTTTAGCAACACTTAACCACTGAATATTTTAACATTTACCAAGCAATTCCATAGGGCTCACTACAATTATAACAATGACTTGGCTGTAGATATGAGATAGTAACATTCATACCATAATCAATTCCCATAGCCAGGTAAAGTGTTGTGTGAATCTGTATGTGTGTACAGGTACCTGTCAACCTAAGAGGTTCCTACCATGGGTTCAGTGAATGTCACATCACATCCCTTTGTGTTTGCCACAAGCAGGGTTTAGTCCTCAAAGGCTCTGGACATGTGTGAGAGGGGATCATCCCAGGCCCCACTGTCTGTGTGAGCCCTGGAGCTGCCCCATGCAGGTGGAGGTGCTGGCACTGCTGCTCTGCTCCGGGAGAGCACAGTGGGGCCTCACTTCTCTAGGGTTTAACACCATTGACTCAGCTAAGTTTCCATCCTGGTCATAACCCCACAATGTTGTATCCATTCATGAGGTGTTATTGTACCTAACTGAACTCAAAGGGAACCAAGGGAGTAGGATTATCTCAGAGTCAATTATGTACTAAAGATATTTTCACCTTCAAGAACGTTTGTACCGTGTGACAAGGCTGATTCTTTTTTATATTATATTAGTTTGCTTTTGAAACAGAAAATATTGTATAATTTAGTTGTAAAATTGCTAACTGAATAAGATAGTAGTGGAGTGGGGTTTTTTGTTGTTTTTTTTTTTTTTTCCTTTAACTGAGTCTTGTAGAACTGAAAGAGCTGAAATATAAATGAATCTGGAAATCTGAGAGGCTGTATATACGTTGACAGGTACCAAATTATTATAATAGTTATGTTTTCACAAATATACATCGTTAGAGAATTTCTTTTTACTGTATCAATTATTTGTTACTGCAGTTGACAACTTCTCATTGTTTCCTGTGCTGCATAAACAATACCATTGTTAAAGGTTTCAGATAATGAATACGGGCCATAACTCTTCAAGTTTTGAACTTTAGTAAGTTTTAGTATTCAATGGGTGTTATAAAGCCTGTAAATTTATATTTTTATGTAGCATATGAGACAGAAGGTTAAACAAGAAAGACTAGCAGATGATAAGGGAGAGATGGCTGAAGAAGTTTAACAGGAGAGAGAAAAGCTCTCACATCTGTCAGAGGAGCAGTTAGCTGACCAAACATCAATTACTTCTGGAAATGAGAGAGAAATAACTGAAGAATTGGAACCAGAAGGTAGAATTCATTTTTATGAATAAGTAACTGTATTTTGTTAAGAAATCTATGTCTCTTTGCATTTTCTTAAGCATTTCTTACTAGCAGTGGGAGCTGCCTCGTTATGAGAAGCTCCATGACAGAAATTATATTCTGGTGTACTTTATAGCTGAAGCTGGGTAGTGGATATGGTGGTGTTATTTTCTTCCCAAATGGAAACTGTATTGTAATTGAATGCAAAAATCTGGTATCTGACCTAGATTCATAAAATATTAAAGGAAACCTGGCTTCTATTTTAAATGTCTTTATATTCTCCCTTAGAACTATGCTGTTCTAAAGACTATTTTAATGAATATACTCCTTTTGTCTGCAGATAACAGCCAATGCTGCTATTGGAAATCCTTTCAGACAGAGAGAGGGGTAGTATGTCTTATCATATTCGTGACTTAAAGTTGTTAGAGGCAGATTTATTTAAAGATTATAAAAGGCAGGTCATCCTGTTCCCCCTCTGAGCTTAAATTGTTTATCATTGAAATAAACCAAGTCCAAGATACCAAGTTTACAGTAGAAGCACAAACAGAATGCTAAAATTTCATGTTCATTTGTTTGCAGCTTCTGCATAAGAATACATTAGAAAACTTGGAAAAACATGGTATTGAATCTCTGTTGTGTTTATAAGTAATTTGCTTCAGAGGAAAAAAAAAAACTCAAAATGGTTTGATATAATCCACCTGCATATAGAACTATTTTTTTATTTTAAAAAAAGGATACATTATTCTTCATGTGTTCATGGTGTTAAACATAGAGGAAATCCACAAATTCAGGCCATATTCCTGTATAAGGCTAACAGTTGTTCATACCTCAGTGTTCATCACAGTACTTATATCATTCCAGTCCGCCTCAGCTTTCATCTGGGAAACAGTACTTTCTTCTTTTTTTTTCTTTCTTCTTTTTTTTTTTTTTTTTTAGCAAACCAGAAGGAAATACAGTTTAGATGACTCTAAAGGTCATTGATTTTCAGGGTTAACTTCTGCAAGGAAGAGAAGATTTGCCTGGCACTTACTCTTCATTTGTTAGTAAAGCACCTATATTGCTATCAGGTTCCTCAGCAAAACTCAGATGGGTAGATAAAGATGGGTACAATAATGGGTTTAACCACACTGATTCTTCTAATGCTTTTCAGATCAAGATGATGATGCTCTTGAAGCAATAAAAACTGACAGCAATGACTGTATTATTTCAAGTCCATTGTCCATGAATATTAAACAGCTGAGTCAGAATGTTTATGGCAATTACTTGGCCAGACTAAAAAAAAAATATTTTAAACTTAATGCCCTCTAAGAGTAGCTTTGCTCTGTCTAACATGAGTTTTCAGTAAAGCTATATATGTACAGTATCAAATCACTTCAGTGTACTTCTTTTTCTATTATTATTTGTGGTCAAGTGCACTAATCATGTTCTCTTAACTTATTCTTAAAACCAGCAATTAATTACCATAAAACATACATAAAAAATAAGATGACTTTAATACAAATTTGGAAAATTTACTTTGAATAGTATTTCAGTAGGATAGTTCTGTAAAAAAAAATAAAAGAATATTTCATGCTTTTTGATCTAACCTTGACTGAACAATGTTAAAAAATATAAAGCTAGTACTTAAAATTGATGACAGTACTTCTAACAGTTAACTTTTCTGATCTGTCTTAGCCTTCCTTTAAAGAACCAGGGCTGTACTGTTAGATCCTATCAGACTTCACAGTTTTTAATGTTCTGCAATGTGATATCCTAGAGGTAGCTTGATTTTTTTTTTTAAATGCTCTTTTAAAGGCTATGAAACATCTCACAAAGCAACTAGCATCAAGAAGCAATTTTTTTGTATGAGAAATATAGCTTATATTTCTTTCTTTCTATAATATATTTCTTTTTTTAAGCTGTAGAAGAGGTTTAGGAATGCTATCACTTGTGCATTCTTCAGAAAGATGCAGTAGGTGCTTTTGAAGATGGAATTGCATCGTTTATGTGTATAATGTTTAAAAAATCACCTGTAATTTTACG